GGTAGCGCAGGCTTCAGCTATAGTATAGATGCTGTGCAAGGATCTCTATGCGTTGGTTCTCATCACAGCAACAGTGGCTATGGTATATCCAATTATTTGACTATTCGACGTATGCCGAATACATAGAGCCTTATCTGGTTTAACCCTAGTGTGGAAATCAATGCTTTCGTTATACAAGGGCAAAAGATAACGGTGCAAATGTCAGGAATCGCCCAGCTTGTCTGGAGATTATCACCAGTGCAAATCATCACCAGAGATTATCACCAGGAGCAGCCCCACACAGGTGAAAACAAAAAAATGAAAAAAATCTCATCCTATGCCGAATACATAGAGCCCTATCCAGATAAACCCTGATGGGAAAGCAAGGCTCTTGCAATGTAAGGAAAAAAATATAACAGTGCAGCCCAAATGCCAGGAATGACTCCAGAACGTCTTGAGATTTTCACCAGCGCAGACAGCAAGGTCAGTCATCTGTGGAGCAGCCCCAACCAGGTGAAATTGAAAAATTAGGAAACCTCAACCTATACCCAATACGTAGAGTCTTATCAGGATTAACCCTAGTGGGAAAACAAGGCTCTTGCAACATAAGGGCAAAAATATAACCGTGCAGCCTAATTGGCAGTAATTGCTCCAGATTTACTAGAGTTTTCCACCTGTGCAGACAGCAAGGTCATTAACCTGTGCAGCACCCGCCCCCAGGTAAAATGGCCTATCTGCAAAGCTTGTAAATTGCACCTTTGTCTGCCTCTCCAGGTAAAACAGGGTTATTCAGTCGCCACCCAATACCTCAACATATTCAAGTGAAAAAAAGGGAATAGGAATAAAAATAAACCATTCCGTGTCTTAGCCTAACAGAAAACATGTCTTAGGGTACTGTATACATGCCGTCTGTGTCACCAGTACGTTGTCTGCAGCCATAAGAACATGGCTGAGCATCACAAAGCACACCGCATTACCTCCACCAGAGTTTGGCCCTGCAGTCTCAGGATTTCTATGACACTGACGCTGCGAGGAATACTTTCCAGTACAAGGTATACATCAGAGGGGAGAGTGCAGCAAAGGTCCAAAGAAAAAGGTGGAACAGCCGGGCTGTCCTAAATAAGATACTGCCAGGATCCATCCCCAGTCCCTGGGGAGCCAGATCCTGTTTGTGTGAGAGAGATATGACCATAGACACTCCCTCCCATGCATGCCCCTCCTTGGAGATACACAGATCTGGCAGAAAAGCTTGGCCGGAAATAAAAGCAATTTGTCAATGCAGGAAGCACAACTTAGGGTGTGTTGCCTTCTGCTGGCAGGGGTGTATCCTCTGAGGCCTATACTTATGCCAAAAAAGTGAAGGGCTCAGAGCCTGCCACTCGAGACCAAGCTGCACCCACCTGGAGAGAGACCCATTGAGAGGTGCATAAATTAAGCCAAGTACCCTTTGCCCCACCGAAGCTGGCCCCCAGAGCAAGAAGGGTACAGGTAGGGGGGGGACTTGTCAACTGTAGACCCGCCTACCTTGGAGCTGGCACCTTGAACCCCCAAAAGGGGAGAAGCAGCCTGTGATGAAGAGTCCGACGGTGTGCACACCCTTGCCGCTTGGACTCATGCTGCTGCCCCACTCCTGGCATCCCTGCTTGCCGATGTGGATTGCCGACAAGGCACAGCATTTGTGTCCTGCTGTGACCCAGCTCTGCTGCCGGCCAGAGAGCCCAACGGGTCATCCGTCAATTCCTCAAGCAGGACACTCCGGGGGACTCCATCTGGAGTCACTACGCCAGCAAGGATAGTTGCCATCTCCTTCAATTATGGAGGGAAACATCTGGGCAAACCGTTTTGTAAGGACTCTGGGGGAACCAGTCCTGGGTAAATGTCCTGTGCAGGAGGCCCTCCAGGTCCACTGTCCTGTCAGTGAGAGCTGCATGCCTCAGGAGGCCCCTGCTATCTAGCATGATAGGCCTGGAGTAAAGTAACAAAAACGTAACGATGCTCCTGTTCGGCCGGAGGAACCACAAAATACTGGAGGTGGTTAGAAGGGACCGCCCTTTTTATTCTAATTGTGGATGATGTGTTTCCTGTTTCAGGTGGGAGGATCCCATCTCTCAGATGCTGCCCTGGAAGATGACTGGAGAAAAATCAGTTTATAAACATGTAAACTTAAAAAATAAATACAAATTATTGGTTTATCTTTAAAGTGACATTAAAGGATAATTTTCCCCTCCCCCAATGTTAATGTCAGCACTTACCTTAAATCATGTATCTTAATCCGATCTTCCTCTTCTTTCCTGATGTTTTCATCTGTCCCTCCAGTGGTGCGGTGGCTCTCCGATCCAGCACTGACTCCTCTCTGCTTGCTGGCACTTCTGATCCCACGGCGTCTTTTCCATATATTTTGTGTTGAGATAAGAGCTTTACCACTATTCCAAGGGGCATACAGTCTCTCTCTCTCTCTCTCACGCACACTATTTCATCTATGCCCATAGCCCTTAGCTTGTATAACAAGCGTTTTATGAGGCACCGTATCAAATGCCTTGGAAAAGTCCAGATATACTACGTCCATCGGCCCCCCCCATCCAGATCTCTACTTACCTCTTCGTAAAAGGTTAGCAGGTTGGTCTGGCAAGAACGATCCTTCCTAAATCCATGCTGATTATCAGTTATTATGCCATGATCCCGGACGAATTTCACTAAGTAATCCTTAGTAATTCCTTCTAACCGGTTTACATACTGTGCATGTCAGACTAACCGGTCTATAGTTCCCCGGTTGGCATTTTGACCCTTTTTTTTAGTGGAAGCTACTTGATAAATAATTGGTGATATTTTATTATGATATAGGGAAATATAGAAATATATTGTACAATTTGATTGAATAGGGTATTGATGGGTACTGTGCCCCTCCTTTCTTCATTTTTCTATGTATTTAGAATCTAGCCTGACCTAAAAGATAAAGTGATGAAGCACAGCACAAAATGTATCAAGAAGCAGCAGTGCTGCATGGGAGGATCCTGCAGCATTACGGCATGCAGTGGATTATGTGCAACTTAGATTAAGGTAAACTGAGTGTACCCGCTTGTTTAGCATATTTGCAATGCTTTCTGGATAAATTTATCCTGACTGTTTCCTGACTGATGTCACTTGTTGCCTAGCATTAGAGATTTATGGAAATCCTGAATGTTCTTATTTATTTTCTAACCCTGAAGCAACAATGTCCACACTAACCCATATGAGTATGTAATGATACAAAAAGATTCCCCCCTTCGCAACCAGGAACTGAAATTTTACCCAGTCTCAGAGGACCATATTTCCTCCATCTTCTACTGTAGTTTGCTATAGCAGAGCCAAGTGTCAAGAAAAAGACAGCATCCCAATTGCCAAACCAAAACAACCTGATTTCTTGCTCCATTTGATTCTGGTACAGTTATTATACATCAAAAAATGCTCGGTCCCTATCCATAGGAGGTGTTCTAGCATGGATGACGTGTCAAACAACACTTCAATTATAACAATAGGTTCTTGGCTGAAACACTGACTCTTCACCAATGAAAATATCTGAAATGGATGGCAACATTTTATAAATGCACAGAAGTTGATCAACATTCTAACATGGTATTTCTTTAAAAAATGTGTACAGATAATTTTTTTTGTGCTTTTACCAATCTAACATTACACTGAGCAATTCTTAAAGGGTTATTAAACCCTCAGCGTTTTTTGCATAAATCTACTGCTAGGGAGCAGTAGATATATGCAAAAACATTAAAAAAAAGACAAAAAAACGTTTAAGCAGGTTAAAACTTACCTTTGTCTTTGTCGCGCGCTCCTGTCCAAACATCTGAAGAATCTCGGGGGGCCACAAAGGATCTTGGGGCGGACGCATGCGCAGTTCAGATCTTCGGCCAGGAGACGAGGAGAGATACAAGGTAAGTCTATGGAGCAGCGTGCACTCGCACAGAGTCCGTGGGACAGGAAGTGCCAGCTAACACGGGGGAGTCAGCGCTGGATCAGAGACCAGCACCATCGCTGGAGGGACATCTGAAAACTACACTAAAGAAGTAGATGACTGGATCAAGAGGCATCATTTAAGGTAAGTCCTTACACTAACATTGGGGGGGGGGGGGGAGACATTTTATCCTTTAATGTCACTTTAATGATCAGTATAGGGGAATGATTATGTACAGTATGTGTGTGTGCCTCTCTTTCTTGTCTATGCCTGATTCAAGTATAAACTGTAGCAGTGGCGCACAAAATACTTGCACATTATGGCAATTGTATCTGTGAGTTTGATCTCCTTTGCTGTTCCACAGTTGCTAGTGGTATCTTCAGGGAAGCTTCTTCCACTGTTGACATCTTCGTTTCCTCCTGGAGCCATAGGGTGGCCAGAGATGATGCAACTCCCATGCATGTGTGATGGAGTTTCACCATCCCAACTCTAGGCTTCCCTCTGACATCTGAGAGATGCAAGAGGTGTACACCATACTTTCCAAATGCTGCAAAAATAGTGAGGAATAAAAAAAATGCTAACAAAAAGGTAAAGGCATTTTTTTGGCAGAAGAAAGTCTCTTCTACTAAACAACCTGTGCATGTTAGCAATTCTAGGGTACAGATCCACTTTAATACAGGAAAGGTAAAGCACTGGAATTCCTAGCAACAAAAACAGAGCAACACCAGTTCATATACTGTATGCGTCCCTTCTTGAGGGTACCATATGAAACCGAACCATTGAATTAAACAGATACAACAAATCAACGGCAGGGGTATGGGGGAAAACTTTGTGTTACGCGAGGTCACAGCACTTGGTAAATTGTTTCATAAAAAATATAGGAGGACTTATAAAGCAGACAGAGAAAAGGAAAACAAGTAAAGATGGACTGCATGCAAGAAGCTAAAAGAATTAAATGAAGAACATTCAAATGAATAATTGTGCAGTTTTGACAACTAGATCTGCAGTACAAATGAACTGTGTATTAAACAGGTCTCCCTTGCAGAGTACTCAGTCTTTGATGATTATTGGTACCTACATGTCTGCTGCATTTCCCGGAGGTTTATATTTAAGGATACCAAGAATGTTTAACATTCTCTTTGCTGTTTGATCAGGCGTTTCCTCACGAATGTCGACAGAATGCTACAAAGACAAAAATGACCACAAATATTAATATTATGACATATATCACACTATTAATGTTGCACAGAGTGAAGAGTGAAACAATTCATTCTTGTGGATTGCATTAAATTCTTCCTAGAAGTGTCATGATCCTGTAAGTGTATTCATCATTCTAAACTCTTACGTATTGCTTTAACTTAAACAATCCGGACAAGGTATGACATGAGTTTATTATGGTTGAGGCCCAATCTTTCTTCCTGTTTGGGAGTATCTGCCTTTCTAGGACCTTGACTATTCTATACGTCTGTTCTGGAAAGGAAATAGTGCAATTTTTAATTTCCCTAAAAACATAGCACAATACAGTTGTGAAAAACTAGCCTAGGCCTATATGTATGGTTAAGACACCCCTACAGCACCTCAATAATTTAGAGGGTTATTCACAAAGGAGCTGAAGGATTAAGCCGAAGCCGAAGGGCTGCTGTGCGGGCTATTCACAATAGCCCATACAGCAACCGATGTCAGGCAAACGGCGCATATGATGTCACCGATAGCTCCGCACAATTGTTTATATTTTGCCGGCATGTGTCAGAATGTCTTTTTGTGGCAGGAGTGTGTCGCGTGCTGACGGGTCGGCAGGCGTCAGGTTTTTTTTTTTATTAGCACGCGTTGTCATCGTTGTGGACAACGATGGATGTCATGATTGACCCTGGATTACATGGTTGGATTAATTTTTGAGAATTTCTTTTTTTTTAAATAATAATGGAATTGTCAAAAATGTTTGGTGTTTTCTTTTAATTAAAGGAATTTTTACAAAAGTCTGGTCTGTTTATATACATTTTTACTTTAACCCTTTAGTGAATAAGTAGGGGTACAAGTACTTACTAAGTCTGGTTGGGAATTTTAGGGGGACCCCACATTTTCCCCTCCCCATTTTTGGGGGTGGGGTTCCTCTTTAAAATTCCTACCAGACCTAAAGGGCCTGGTATGACTTCTGGGGGAGGGAGCCTGCTTTTTTTTTTAACTTGGGGTCCCTCCTAACTTTCCTACCAGACCTGAAGGGTCTGGTATGAATCGGGAGGGGGACCCCACGCATTCGCCTATTCACTCACTGCCGTTTGGCCCCTATGAGAATGAAACTGAAAAATCCTGCTTAGTTCTCACTGACTGGGGAGATGTTGGGAGTATTGTTTCATATAAGTAATCCTATCTGTACTGTGCTGGCAGATGTCATTATCACTTGTAAACTAGATGAGCAGGACTGTCTATCCTAACAAAGGGTTATAGAGCGGAAGACATTGTATGTTAATGAGGGGGAGCTCAGCCTGTCCTAAGTCTTAATATAAACTGCTTCAGGATCACCGAACGTAAAAAAGTCCGGCTTCTGAAGTGTTTATACCAGCGATTATTGGTATCATTTTAAACAGTCGGTGATCAGCCTTTCGTTGTTTTATGCTATAAAAGCTATTGTTCTTAAAAGGATGGGCCCAGCCGCTCCTACTTTAGTATTTTGGAAATCACTGGTGAATTCTGCCTTGCCCTTATACAAAGCTACGTATGAATCTAGAGGTTGTGCTGATAAATTCTACAATTTATCAGCACAACCTCCAGACAGCAACTCAACTGCCAACATTACATAGTTACATAGTTAGTTAGGTTGAAAAAAGACACATTTCCATTGAGTTCAACCTATAGAGATCCGGAAAAGAAAAAAGGTAAGAAATATATTTCTTTTTAAAATGATTTTTAGATATGATGTGTGAATAGGAACACAAACATATAATAGGGTTTTCTCAAATTTGGCTGCAAAGGTAGAAATACACTTTAAGCCAAGTAGAGGCCTCTAAAACAGCTGCATTTGGAGGATCTCAAGTCACATGGAAAAGATTTTGACATGGGTGAAAAGTATGTGCAAGCCTTACTGTACCTGTTAATAGGCTCTGCTATTACCCTGTTAAGTTACACTTATCTACAGCTTTGCTTTAAAGATTATGTACAGATAGATAGATATAGATATAGATATATATATAATATATATATCTATATCTATCTGAATTAAAGTCTCGCTTAAAAAAACATTGCAAGGAGCAAGATTTTTTTTTTGACATGCAAAGTCTCTTTTGCCAAAAAGACCCCCAAAACTTTGCACAATGCTCCTTGCAAAACTTCTTTTGCATGCTAAAAGCATGGCAAAAGTAGAGCCAGGTGCTGGGGATGATGTAACTTCTATATGCGTGCGCAGGAGTTACAACGTCAGTGGCTATTCAATGGCCATAAACCTGAAAGTAGTGGCAGGGAAGATGGCAGTGGCAGCAAAAGAAGCAGACCTATTACAGGTGAAGCTCTGACCTTTTACAGGTGAAGGAGGGCCCATTGAGAAGCAACTGTAAGTAAGTGTGCCATAATGGGCAAGTATGCTGTTTACATTAGGGCAAAGAGGCCACACATCACGATGCAGATTTAGTTCTGCTTTGAGGTCACTGTAGTGGAGTGTAGGGCTTGTGTCACAGGGCTGAAGATATTATATGGACAAAAGTTTGTGGATACCTGATGCACCACCTCTACCCTAGCAGCTAGAACAGCATCCACTCTTCTGGAATGGCTTTCTGGAGGATTTTGGAGTGTGTCTGTAGGTTAGTTTAATCGAAGTTAGTTAGCTACAATGTATAAGGCACACTTGTGGTAGCTTATCAGGATGGTAATGGAGAATAACCCTGGGGGATGGTAGCACATCTCTCCACTCATCATTATCTATCGCATCAACATCTTTTTCCCAGGATATTTTTATGTTTTCATAGGAGGTGCGTCGGAAGCCCTATAGGTGCTGTACAGAGAGGATATGTTTCTGAGAAAGAAACAGTAAGCATTCCAGTTACAACACTCTCTGTAATATTGGAAGTTGGGGTTATTGTGTCTGGAAAACATGTCTCAACAGTAGCTAGGGAAACAAATTAGTTATTGGGGAGAGCAAGGTCCTCTTTCATGGTTTGAAAGGATTTTCAGGAAGCCATTAAACACAGGCCGGTGACCTCTTTCTAACTGCACATGTGAAAAGCTGGGAAGTTATACAATTCTTGTAGCCCATGGTTTGCCCATAAATTAGTATCTGGTGACCATCTGGTGAATTTAATAAACAAATACTGCAAATCCCACGTTCTTAAGTGTTCAGACCCTTTGCAACAACACTTGAAATTTAGCTCAGGTGCCTCCCATTTCTCTTGATCATTGCTGAGATGTCTCTACACCTTGATTGGAATCCACCTGTGGTAAATTAAAATGATTAAACATGATTTGGAAAGGCATACACCTCTCTATAGAAGGCCTCACAGCTGACAATGCATACTGTATCAGAGCCAAAAGCCACGGAGTCAAAGGAACGTCCTACAGAGCTCAGAGACAGGATTATTGCACGGCACAGAACTGGGGAAGGCTACAAAAAAATTCTGCTGCACTGAAGGCTCCCAAGAGCACAGTGGCCTCCATAATTCTTGAATGGAACAAATTTGGCACAACCAGGACTTTCCAAGAGCTGGTTGCCCAGCCAAACTGCAGCAATTGGGGGAGAACGGCCTTAGTAAGAAAGGTGACCAAGAACCCGATGGTCACTCTGACTGAGCTCCAGAAATCCTGTTTGAAGAAGGGACAAAGTTTCAAAAGGACAGTCATCACTGCAGCCCTCCACCGATCTGACAGCCCTCCACCGATCTAAATGTCAGTCAAAGTACCGCAGCGCTGAATACTGAAAAATGGCCTGGATGGGAAGGGGGTTTAACACCGCGGATGTCAACTGGTTAATAACCACACGCAGGAAGTATGTAGGCGTGTGGTAAGGCATAGCGGTTTGAGAAAGTAATTTTGAGCATTTTTACTTAATGCGACTCAAGAAAAAAAACTAAGAAAAAATAATAAATATAAATGTAACCATTAATAAATATTAACCACTTGCAGTCCGCCCGTTGTAAAAAAACGGACGGACGGCACTGCAGCATTGGCGGGTTGCCGTCTCCCTAGCGGGCACGCACGGGCAGAAAAGACTCGACCAATGCAAACAACCGTTACCAGGTGTTACACATATAGACGATCGGCGGCTCCATAGCCCGCCGATCGCCTATATGTGCTCGTTTAACACCCCCCGCGCCAGCACGCAAAAATTACAATTGCGCTACACATGTTACATATAATTGCATGCAAATAGTGGTACCAGCGCAAGTCCCCGTATTTACCAGTAATAGAGAGTGGGAGGTGGGGTGGTGGATGAAGTAGAACGGGGCGTACTGCCCAAGGTATTTTGTGGAAGGTTTTTAGGGAGTATGCCATACAAAGTCCTTATCTGGTGAATAACTTAATGAAATTATGCATTCATTAAACATTTGAGGACTTTGAGGATCTTTGATATCTGTCTGCACATACACACTAAAAATTCCGATCCTCACATACACAAGATATTACAAATTTGCCAAAAATGTGCAGTGAATACAGGGCCACATAAAACAACTGACTATATTGTATGATATTTTCCTAGATTTAATTGGCTTTGTTAAACTACACTTATTTTACAAGACATGGCATCTATTCGTAGTATTACATTAACCATAAAAACACACATTACCTTTGGGTCAATTTCTGCAAGAACATCATTCAGAACTTGTAAAAGCTGCATGGGCTCCAGCGAATCAAACGTTATGAGGTTAAAGTTCTTCTTAAAAGGCTCCTTACTGAGCTTTTCAACAATGAATTTAAGTTGATCGCTCATTTTGGCTGTTATAAAAAACCTTCAAAACACATAAAAGCAGTTGGTTAATTGCAGTTATAAAACAACCGTAAAATACAAAATAAACACCTTTCAGCTGGACTTTTATTGCATACAATGATCTTTGTAGATTGCTCTTATTATCTAAAAATGTTCCTGTATGCTTATTTGTTATGAATAAAAGAATATATATAAAAAAATAACAAATAAAACAAAAACCCAAAAAAGTAAAATACGTTTTAAGGTGAGAAACTTTATAATAGTCTTGAAAGATAGTTCTTTTAGTTTAAAGGGTAAGTGCACTTTACGAAGCGTGTATTTTTCCTTTTTGCCTCCTCCCCCAGCTGTCAGATCCAGGTAAGTGTGCACAGAAATCAGTACCTTCATCAGTTTATTTAAATATGGCTGGTGGAAGCAGCTGCTCTGAAAGAGCTAGGAAACACAGGTCACTGAAGAGGTGAGTATAAGAGATCCTCTCTTGCAGGGCACCATTTTTTCATACCTGACAGGGCCACTTTAAAGCAAACCTGTCATAAGAGAAACATGGTGGCTGCCATCGCTGATCTGTTCAGAAGATACCAGGTGTCTGATGTCATGCTGCTTCCGCTACCAACCTGACACGAACATGCAGATAACATCTGACTTTTCTCACTCCTGATTCAGCTTGCTTGTTGCAGATCAGTCATTGTGCCAGTAGACCAGCCAGACAGAGATCAGCAACGGCAGCCCTCATATTCTTTAATGACAGTTTTCTCTTTAAGAAGCTGGAAGCTTCTATCTCCATTGCTATTTAGACCTAGTTCCAGAAAAGAATCATTAGTATCACCTATAAAGCTACTATAAAGCATAAAAACGTCAAATGTTACCTGACACAACAGACAATCCTTAAAGAAAAAAAGAAGCGTGAAGCAGTTGCTAAGGAGACGCTAGCCTCCCATAAACGTCACTTCCTGTAATGAGGGGAAGTCTCGGTAACAAGCATCGTTCCACTGAATGCTCGTCACCATAGAACACGGGAGCGCGCAGCAGCACCTCAGCTCTTATACAATGCTGTCCTCTAGTGGCCAAAGTTTAGAACGCTTTGGAAACGTTTACATTTCTTGAAAGACTGCAGAGAAGAAGCCAACAAAAAGTGGCATGGAAGAACGGTGATAAGAAGTCTCATGAGCAACTAGTAGTTGTCCTTCTAGTAGATAGGTGAGAACAATATTTGAGAATGATAAGCCCAAAAAAAAGGTGAGCTGTCATATATATTATACGAAGTAAACATATATGAATTATATTCGGGATAACAACAACAAAATGTAAACACTTGTCAGCTATATATGGCTTCACACAGTGAGTGCATATTTTACCATTATTTTCATAAATGATTTACATTTTATTAATTTCAGTTCCTGTGATGCTATCCACACATGGATTCTGTACCCCACTACTGAAATGGGCTGCATACATCTGGTTTGTTGTACAATGGAACCATATAGTATATGCTTCAGCCATATCAGTACACATCAGATGCTTGGACTTGTAGTAGTTCCTCAGCTGATATATATGTGTGGGGGTGGGGGGTACAGTTCTAGTGGATGTTTATATAATATGGGGTGGGGGGCGAAAAAAAATGTTCTGCCCCGGGCGCCCATAACTCTGGTTACACCAATGCCAGAGTATACCCACAAACAGCTGTGTACAGCTATTGACATCTATGGCAATCTGTATGCAGCACCTGCGGCTCCCTGGAGAGGGGGGATATGTTGGTATTTGTGGTGTACAGGCTCAGCCACCCAGTGCATGAAAAAAGGAGATATCAGGTTTTCTTTTAGAGCGCTTCCACAACGGAAAACCTGATCGGAAGCCCAATGTTAGTCTATGGGCAGATGATCTAAACGGACCAACATGGGTATGGTAATCTCAGTTTTTTCCATCGCAAGATGGAGGAAAAAAGCTGGATGGACACGGATGTCACAACGGTGACATCCGTTCCGATCAGCAGGGGATCCAGCGGGTCCAGTGTAGAAAGTAGGGATGCACCGATACCAAGTAAAGTACTTTTCCAGCTCCAAGACTATACTAGAGAAAAATTCAAAAGTTAGGAGGCAGCTGTCATTTGTAAGGAGCACACGGAGCTCCTGGTATTTGTACATCTCTGTTTTAATGCATTATTTTGTTTTTATAAATATAAATAATAGACATGTGCGATTCGTTTCGTTACGAAACTAAATTCGGACGGAAATTTGGAGATTCGGATGTATCCGAATTCCGAATTACAGCTAAAACTAATGCAAACAAATCCGAATTCCCGATTTCCCGAAATTCATTAGCTGTAGTCAGGTCAAAATTTAGTTTTTGGATGCAATTTCTTTGCAGCAAAATGACATTAGGAAAAAAAAGAAATTACATTTTGTTTTTTTTTAGTTTGCAGAAGATGAAAACAAAAAAGCGTGAGGTTCCCCCCCCCCAATTCATCCCAGACCCAGGAATGTTAGGAGGGACCCCCTCCCAAGTTAAAACACAAAAAAGTGCAGGGGTCTGGTATGAATTGGGGGGGGAAACCTCACGCTTTATTTTTTCATCTTCTGCAAACTAAAAAAAATTGCATTTTTTTCCCTATCTCGTTTTGCAAAAACGAAATTTCGACCGGACTAGCGCTAAAAAACGATATTTAGTCAAAAAATGAAATTTCGACCGGACTACCGCTAACGAATTTCGTCCCAATCCGAATTCCGAAACTAATTTAATTTCGGACCCGAATCCGAAAAAACTAAATAATGCAAAATCCAAAACGAAACGAAACTAAATTTTTTGCTAGTGCACATGTCTAAATAAAGGGATGTGCCCAGGGGCGTAACTAGAAATCCCAAGGCCCCATAGCAAAATTTTGTAAGCCCCCCCCACAACGAAACCCCGCCACCATTTTAATAGAAATGCGCTGATCAGCACGTTTTTGAGCGTTTTTAATTGTGTTTCAGCGCTGAATGTCTTTTTCTGCAGCCTCAGCACTCAGTGAATGGGAGGCACTCAGTACAGAGGATTCCCATTCATTCACAAACTGCTGATAGTAAGATATTTACTATCAAGCAGATTCTCAATGGGGAAAAGCCTCTGTACTTAGTGCTTCTCCGCATTGAGAAATTCATGAATGAACAGGAGGTGATGTGTGTGTGATGTACTATGTGTCCCCAGTTATTTACAAACACTGGAGTGATCAGACGATGCTGCACACGGAGGATGGTAAATATCAATGATACTTACCGATCCTCCGTTGACTATGATGGTAGTTCAGCCACTGGATGCACCAATACCAGTTTTGCGAGTACAAGTACTGATACTTGCCCAAGTACTTACAAGTACGAGTACTGATACATTTTTGTTTATTGTCATGTGACAGTTTTTCTAAAATAATATCGACTAATGATTTCAGGACAGTGGTGGAGCACCAGAGCTAGGTCCCAGCTGCAACCGCTGCAACCCTTGCAGTTCTCGTGAAAATGCCAAGTATCGGCACTGGTATCTGAAAAGTATCGGTGCATCTCTAGTAGAAAGTTTAAATAGCTAGAAGTCTGCTAGAATAGAGATGAAGGAGGACGAGGAACCGGAGAGAGGATTTGGGGGGTTAATGCCGAGTGACAGAATGGAGGAGGAGGGAGGAATGAGAAAACCAAGGGTGGTAGAAGGATTTAAACTTTAATGACGGGATACAAAAATAAATGAAAAATAAGATGAAGTGACCTGTGTAAATATAACAGATCTGAGGGAACCAGGGGCTCTGTGTAACACTGGCGGCATTGTGAATGAACTAGAAGCTCAGATAGCACTCTGGGAAGGGACAGAGAATTTCATAGAGGGCGATGAGCATGGGAACAGAAAAAAATTAGGAGGATGTCATATTAAATGGACGGGGGAATGTATACTAGGAATGACAGGAGCAAAATGTTATACATTTTGAATGGGAATGGGAGCATGGGGAGGTGAGATTTTTTTTGGGCCTATTTTGTGTTATCCTGTTGTAAACTAGAACTAGAAATTTGGACTCTTGAACCTTTTGATGGCGCTCTCTTTGGACTTTCTGCACAGTGCAGGACATGGTTGGGTGAAGCAATGGAGGGGGAGGTTCCCACCTCAGCTATGCCCTCTGCAGCATGGCATCCAAGGCAGGTGCCTCTTCTTCCTTTGTCTCCATTTGGCCCTGCTTGTCACAATGACAGCCTCAGATAGATCTGAAAACTGGCTATCCAGTGCCATTGGTTGCTCGGATGCAGTCGGCTGGCCCATTCTGCGCTGCTGTGAATTAACAGTTAATTCAAAGTGTGTTGGGGTGCCATTTAGATTGAATAGCACTACAATGCACTGAACATAGAGGGGAATTCATCAAAACTGGAGCAGATCAAATCTGGAGCATTTGCCCATGGCAACCAATCAGCTTCTAATTTTCATTTTCAAAGCCTAACTGAACAAAATGAATCGAGAAGCTGATTGGTTACTATTAGCAACTGCTCCAGACTCTTGCCTGCTCCATTTTTGGTACTTTTCCCCATAGAGTTTTGGATTGACCCACTTTGTGGTAGTATGTATTATTCCAATACATAGGTGTATATGGACCCTTTTGTGTTTAAGTCAAAACATTTTTATTTGGTTTTGGATACATTTATAGGCAAGGTTATAACCCCTGTCAGCTTTTTTTTACCATCTGTGTCCAAAATGGGGAGATTTCTACTCCTCTTCCTGTCCAATAGCCACAAAAGGAAGTGAGAGGAAATCCCTCCAAAGAAAGGAAAATACCTGGTGCTCAGCAGGGTCACCAGAACTAATGTCCCCATTGGAATATTTCCCATCTATTCTTGTTCTGGTGACCATGCAAAATGTGGGATTTCTTTTCACTTTCCGTGATAACAGTCACCGAGACAATTAGAGATGGTAAATCTCCCTAATGGGGACACGGATAAAAAAATAAAAAATACATGACAGGGGTTTCTAATCCCTCTCCATTGTATCTAAAACATATCTCTAGATTGTAAAAGATGAACTTTACAGCTATAGGCTCTTCCAATCTATTTCATGTCTTTGAATTATGCCTGTTATCCAGCCTCTGTAGGTTTCTTACTTTACATGGTGCCAAATCAATATTAATCATAAAATAAATGTATGCAAGGTAAATGTTTGCTATGCTATCTTCCAGAATTCCATCATGTTTGTTTGTGTGCATATAGATAGAGCTACATAAAAAACAGACCCATAAAAAAAAATCAACCCATATTTTATTCACAATAAAAAATATAAAATATATTAAATGTTTAAAAAAGGTAAAAATTTACCATTTGAAGAAAAAAGTAAGGTCATTTTGAAATTGATGGCAGCAACAAGTCTCAAAAAAGTTAGGACAGGGCAACAAAAAGCTGGAAAAGTAAGTGGTACTAACAAGGAGGAGCTGGGAGTATATTTTGCAACTAATTAGGTTAACAGGCAACCGGTCAGTAACATGATTGGGTATAAAAAGAGCATCTTAGAGAGTCAGAGTGTTTCAGAAGTAAAGATGGGCAGAGGTTCACCAATCTGTGAAAAGCTGCGTCTAAAAATTGTCTAACAATTTCAGAATAATGTGCCTCAATGTAAAATTGCAATGACTTTAAATACTGTATATCCTCATCTACAGTATATAATATCATCAAAAGAGTTTGAGAATCTGGAGAAATCTCTATGCACAAGGGACAAGGCCAAAACTCAATATTGGATGCCCATGATCTTCGGACCCTCGGACAGCACTGCATTAAAAACAGTCATGATTCTGTGATGGACATCACTGCATGGGTTAAGGAATACTTCCAAAAAGCAGTGTCTGTGAACACAGTTCACCGTGCCATCCAAAAATGCGAGTTAAAGCTGCATCATGAAAAGAAGAATCCATATCTGAA